GCGCCCCTCGGCAGCACCAGCCCCTCTTCTTCGGGCGCCAGGGGCTCACGGTCTGCCGTCGCGTCCCCGCTCTCTGCAGCCTCGGACGCGGCGAGCGAGTGGGTCTACGTGACCCTCCCGCCCCTCGTGGGAAAAGCACCAGGAGAACACGATGACCCTTCGCAGCCCAGCCTCCCGCGTGGCCAAGGGCAGCTATTTCATTACACGTGTGCTTCCGCAAAAACAAATATTATTTCTGAATCTTCCACGACCCGGGTGTCCGGGAACGGCGAGCACAGCACGCGCTGGCCGAGCGGCTGCCCCGCGGGTCTGGTGCCGGCGGGTTGAGGCCCGGCACTGGATGGAGGGAAACCCGCCCGTGAGGGGACCTGGGGCCGTGGCCAAAGGACTCAGCCTCCTTGCTTCAACATCTCTCTTCACGGGGAAGATATTTTCGTGCTTCCCTGTGCCTTTCCCGTCCTCTGCATTTTCACAAACCTGCTGCCCCTCCAGTGGCTGCGGCTCCAGGCGGCCTCTCGGAGCCCGTTGCCCCTGGAGCGGTCCGTGGCCCGCACTCAGGGGAACGGCTCTGTCAGTGGGAGTCCGGGGCGTCTCTCAAGCGTGTTCTGATGGCTGAGGAGGCCCCGGGAAGCAGGAAACAGAGCAGAGTTTGTGTGGCCCCAAGGGCGCAGCCCAAACCGGTGGCACCAGGCCACGGAGCTGCAGGGTCCCCTCGGGCAGCTTCGCCGGTGGGCCAGGCCCTTGCAGGCTGCACAGCCCCGGGACCCTCGCTCGGAGGCCGCCTGAGGATCTGGAGATCACAGCCGGAGGCCCCCGACCCCCTAAGGGACGCCCACTCTCCAGGCCGAGGCCCAGCCCGCGTGCAGAGGGTATGGGGCCTGCGATGTGTCCTCAGGGCTGACCGCACCGCAGAGAGGCCTGCCCGCCTGCTGGCAGCCCGGACGGCACGTGCTCCGGGGACTGCCGCAGGGCTTCTGGATCGGAGTTCTACCCTACCCCACTTTCAAACCCGTCGCTGAGCAGAAACAGGGCCGGGGCTCCGCAGCGCCGCCCAGGGCACCACGGTGGCGCCCTCTACTGGAAGCGCACAGAGAGCCCCGCACCCAGGCCCCCGGGCATCGCAGCCTGCGCTTCAGTTCCGGGCAGAGGAGGGGTCTTGGAACTGTCAGTCACCGGAGCAAAGCATTTTCCTTACAGAATTCGGGACGCAGCCAAACACCTTCACAGCCCCCAAGTGCGAAGGGCACCCCAGGTCCCCCACTCGTCCTCCCAACACGCCGGGACAGAGAAACGGGCCCTCTGCTCGCACGCGGAGACACAATTCTCACGGCTCGCCGAGCCGAGGGCCCCCGTGAGAATGGACGGTCGCGGTGGGGAGACTCAGGGTTCCATCCGAAGATCAGACATCCGTGCAGCTCCCTGCAGGAGCACGACTCCGCCGTAAAGAAGTCCTGAGAAGGACCAAAATCAGAAGATAATGGGGAAATGGTCATATTTTATTTTTGAGGGAAAAAATCCAGAATTAACTTGGCTGGCCTAAGAAAGGGATGCAATAAATTATAAACTGGTGAGAAACGCCTAGTTTGTCTGTGTTAGGTACCTGCTCTTTTGTTGACATGAAGGTACCATGAGATACACAGTACACCCAAACTGTACACGTGCAGGGCTGTATTTTTACCCAGGTTTCTGGTGACAAACAAACCGCTCGAGCTTCCCTGCTGCTGTTTACACTGTCGCAGGCACCCCTGACAAAGACACAGCATCCTACTGAACACTTGGGCATGGTTTATTTTCTCCATACGTCGTATTATTTATCCACACACAGAGCTACAAGTTTCCCTTACACTTTTTGGATAAGTCAATTATAACGCTAAAGCGACAACACAATACTTAAGTATCAGACCGCGTGCCCGGCAGATGCTGGAGACGCTCCTCTCTGCCGTCGGTGACAAGAGCTGACCCGCCTTCGTGTGTGACCCTGGACTTCCAGGCTCGACGTCAGGTGTCAGGAAGGAGAGGTTGGCATCCCTTGTCACCTTCTGTCCAGAGAAAGGCTGGGATAGACTCCATTCCTCAGAGAGGTGCCGTTTCAACCACGCCCACACGCGAAGAGCTGTTCGTTTTCCCAAGTCTTTCTGGCAAGTGGTTATCTTCTTTCCACTGACATGACCCCCAGTGGATGCATCCTGCATTCGCTTTCTGGCAGTTGGAAAAATAAAGCTGGAGAATCTCAGTAAGCGCCTGCTTCCAGGGCCCGTCCCCTCTCTTCCAGCATCATCATCCCGGCAGCTTCAACAGCCAAGAGGAAAGGGCAGGCGGGGAGCACGCAGGGGGCGGACACGGCTGCAGCCTGGGACGGGCCTGCATGGGGGTCCAGGGCCCTGGGGGCCTTGGCTGGCTCCGGGCGCAGGCGTGGTGCCCGAGGCAGCCAGCGGTTCCCGGAGGGTGCCGGATGCCCCCTCCTTCCGGGGCAGTCGCCCTCACGTTTGCCAGCCCCCCACTGTCTCACCTCTGACTTAACAGTATTAGAAATGGAACAGTGACAGTGCGAGAGAAGGGAACAAGTTAGACGCACGGTGGCCAGTCTCTGAACTCACTTTGTCGTAAAATGTAGAAAAGGAGCAGACACGCGGCACCCCTACGGCTCCAGCCCCTTTAATGTGGCAGTGCCGCCGCCCGCCGTGCTCCCAGCGAGCTGTTACTACAAACATTCAATCCTGGCCAGCAGGCTGGGAGCTGGTGGCGCCACCCAGGGCCCCGTGCCAGGTTCTCGCTGGACGGGAGCCCCCTCCACATGCCGGTTTCCCCGCCGAGCCGCCTTCGTGGGCCAGAAGCCACTCTTTTACAGCCACGCCTCCAGAGTAGCCGCCCAGGGCTCCGCTGCTGCAGACCACTCTATGGCACGGGATAAGGATGGGAATCTGGAAAACAGCGAGGCAGCCACCATCAGTCTGGGCTCCGGGCCAGCGTGGTCTTTCGGGATCCAGGGCAAGGCCCCTGACCACGATGGACCCAGGGCCCAAATCGCAGGGCTTGGCCACATGCAGGCTCCGTCTCAGCACTGCTCACCCCTTGGCCTCTGAGGGTCCTGCGTGGGCTGGGAAGGGGCCCAATGCCCGAGGCGAATGTGGGGCATCTTCTAGAGAACCCCTTTATGCTACGACTGGGGAGGAGAAAGCTTAATTTCACTTGATAAGGGATTTAAAATGGATGCAGAATTTAAAATGACATTTCCAAGTTTAGGTACCACGTAAAATTCTCCAACACTTCCAAGATGTTAAGGAGAAACTTCGGGGAATGCTGTACTCACACAGGCCACTTCAACCCAGAGGCTGGAACTTGTGGCCGTCCCCATGCAGTCCACGCCTGTTTTTGTAAATAAGGTTTTATGGGAACACAACCACGCCCACTTGGTACTCCGTACCTGTGGCTGCTTTTGCAAAGCCTAAAATATTGATTGAACAGCCTTTATAGAAAAGGTTTGCAGACCCTGGCTTTACACTACACCCGTGCACTAGGGGGGACCTGCTTTCCTCCTTAGTCTCTGGACATGGCAAGTCTGAGAAGCTCCAGTTCCATCTGTTCCCACCTGCAAAGCTGCCACCACCACCGCTGCCACCAGTACCCCACCTGCTGGGATGGGGCAGCCAGCTCTTCCACTGATCCCAGCAAGGACCCTCGGCCCATGCCCACCCTCATTCGTCCCACAGGGTTCCCCCCCACCCCCCCCAAAGAAGCCCTGATGGGAAGACAAAGCTGCTCCTAGCCTTTCACACCTGGAGACAAGCGTAGTAGTCAGGGGCCTGTTTAAATCAACAGAGCGATTCCACTAAAAGCAGCGGCACCACTTCACAGTGAAAACAAGTCCAAACACAGCCCACAGAGAACTGCCGACGATCAGAAGGGCCCCACTGCTGGCACCAAGGGCAGTGACAGCCGCTCAGGGCCCGAGCGTCCCTGAGATGCACCAGGAAACACGCGCCCAGGCTGGGCTCTGTGCACCCAGTGAAGCTCACCCGTGGCCCCAAATGCAGCCGCACCAGTCCCAGGGGAGGTGCAAGGCTGGCCCAGCCTCGGAGAGTGAGGGCCTGGTTCCCGGGAGGCCGGACAGACAGACAGGCAGACAGGCAGACAGGCAGGCAGGCAGGCAGGCAGGCAGGCAGGCAGGCAGGCGTGTGGATCAGGTGCCGATGCCCCGAGGACAGGGCCTCCCCCAGCGCTCGGCACCTTCTTTTCCTGGCCCAGAGCGGACACCACACAGACCTGCAGGAGTCTGATACCGCACGTACCAGACTGGGCTGGACCCCAGGGCCCGCAGTCTCCGATGGGATTCAGGGGCCCTCTCGTGAGGGCTGCTCGCTACTCCTGCAGCCATTTACAGGCCTAGTCCCCCCTAACCTCGCGCTTGCGCAGCCAACCCCACCAGGGAGGGGAGCCCCTGTCCTCTCTGGCGGGGCCTCCTCAGCAGGAGTTCCAAGGATGCGCACGGGAGCCCTGCTTGGGGTCTGTTCCTGGAACGGCAGCGCCGCTGTCTGCACGGAGCTCTGACAGCCATGGGTGGAGGGGCTGCATTGGCCACTGCCCTTGCTTTCGGTTTCCGCGTGGAGGACCTCACTGGAGGGATGCTCCTGGCCTGGTCTCTCCCCACCAAACCCCCTGAGGGGAGGACGACTCACTGAGCAGCCACCCTTGGAAGAAGGGACGAGAACGCTCAGCTCAGCACCTTGTGGGGTCCTGCAGGGGGACTGCCTGCCCCACAGCATGGGGTGTCCTGTTCTCTTCCAAGACATGGTCAGCGTCCGCCCCTGCAGGGACCAGTGACGGGGTGGGGAGGGTGTCAAATTCTGGCGGGACTTCCTGCAAAGTCTGCCATGGCTATGGCTATGGCCACACCACCTCTCCAGTCAAGCTTTTATCCTAATAAAGCTAACATTCTTTACTCATGTCTCAGTTGGCTCAGAAGATGGGAGGAAAGAAAGGGATGTAATTACGGCCCCCGAAAACCACAGTGGATGGGAGATGTCTTCCTGGGCAGCCAGTGGACACAGCTTAGAGCACACCCAGCATGCCAGGGATGGCCACATGCCGGGGGCCACCAAACACAAGGGGGTGTACCCCGTGTTCCCACTGCACGGGGCTCTGGGAGACCGATGGTTGTTCTGCGTAAGGATCCGGACAAGCAGTTACTCAGAGCTTGAGAAGAGCTGCTCTCTGGAGGGACTCCCCCAGGCCTCGGCAGAGTTCAGACTTCTGCTAAGGGAAGGGTCTGCTCCGGAGTCCCTGGGGAAGAAAGGCCTCATCCTAGGTAGCTCCATCCTGGCGGGAGGAAGGGGCACCGGTGGGCGGCCACTGCAGGCCCAGGGCATGCTGGGGTGAGAGCTCTCATCCCTGTGGGAACACCATGGTGGCCGCTCCACAAAGAAGGTCACAGCAGCGGGCACAGGTACAGGAGCTGGGGCCCACTCTGGAGATGGCGCCGGGGTGGGGAGCTGGGCGCAGACCCTGAAAGACCCCACCCATGGGGGGAACCTCCTCTCATGGTATCTGGGCACCCCCTGCTCCCTCGGGCGGTCGTTCCTACTTCTGCCTTTACCGGAGCAGGGTGTCAGCTGCTGGGCACCAGACACACACACACGCCTGCCAGGAAGTGCCCCTCTGTGGGGCTGCACCTGTCCCAGGAGGATGGCTGGATCCTCAGTCCCTGTCCTAGACACGTTGCTCAGTAATGATGCTCTGGGGAGAGCATGCCGGATGTGCACATCGTGACATCGTATCCTCCAACGAGCCCAGGCCATGCACTCTCAACTTCGGGACACGTTAAGCCTCTGGCCCAAGTTGACAAGCTGCTTAGAGGCCGAGAGGGGATCCCAGCCCCACACTCTGTACACTGCCCCCAGGGGACCGCCGAGGCAGGGCCTGGGGGCGCTGGCACCTAAGTAAGTTGGCTTGGGAGGTGGGAATCTGACTTCCCGCACATCACAGACTAGTCCCGCCTTGGACCAGAAGTTAGAGTTGCCATGGTAACTGGCATCGTCTGTGGGGCTCTGACCCCGCACGGGGAGGGTGAGCTCAGACTTCCTCTCCAGTGCAGTTTAACTGAGCGAGAAGCAGACACGCTGTCGAGTCCTGCTGAGTCCTGCCCGCAGCACCCAGCTCCCATCTGCCTGGGGGGAGTAGCGGGAAACTCTAAGAACAGATTGTTTGCTCTGATTGAGGGTTTTTATCAAATACAACAGGACATTAATAATTGCTGGGAGGACATGATTAGGTAACACACAATTCACGTTTTTGACTGATAAAGAGACAGACATTTAATTCAATTTAGTCTTACAAACATTTAGGCACCAATTCAGTTTTCCTACCGAACAGCAGATTTCACAAGGGAGTGTTGATTTTCTTCCCTCTCGCCCAACAAGCTATGAAATTGTAACAAAGTGTGTAAACCTGAACCTTTCTCCCTTTCTATGCAGGGACTGCTGGCCTGGAACAGCAATTATAAAGATAGCTATGACCAGGCTTCATCTTTGACGGGGGGCGGGTGTCTTACCAAACACGCACTATCTTCGCCTCCGGAAATGGGAATGCTGCTTCTGCTCGTGCTAATTTTGGTGGCAAGTTTCAGACTATCAAGATGACGAAACCTGCTAAAATTCACTGGGGCCCTCAGGACATTTCAAAGGATGTGCACCCTCTATGCCCTCTCCTTTAAAGCCTGTGCTACACGAAATGCAATTCTTATCAACAACCACGAAGCTCATAATATCGCAGCTGCACTGAAATCTTCACGCTGTGAAATCTAATTCATCCAATACGCGAATCCATCACTTACACAGACCCTTTCTCAAATGCTATAAAACTTCCAAACCCATAGATTTGTCTCCAACAAAAATAACACGAAGGGGCCTTTCGATCAATAATGGAATCCCTCTGATTCTGGTGCCGGCTGAATATTTTCTCCAGCTTTGCCTTTGTTCTTGTGGGTAGCAGCCCACAAGGGAAAGAGCTTGTTTTCACTTGCGGCCTCATCAATACCTAAATCCTGGTGAACAAGTGACACCGAGAAGCTGTAATCAATAGCTCCCCGTGCGTTTTTTTCTTCTGGTCAAATGGTTCAGCCCCACTGACAGCCCTGACACTTAGAACATGATGCTAAATCTTTATCAACAGCCATCTGGGTGACTGGCAGGACAAGACTCAGGGGGTCATTAACGCTCATGGCAATCTGTGAATAAACTAACTCCTCAGGAATGCGTTTGTTTAGAAGAAGGTGGAGAAACTCTCTGTGCAAGTATTGATCGCCTTTGAACTGCATTTAGCAAATTCTGTCTGAGGATGAGTAGAAGGGTGCTTTACCGGGGAGGGCGTGAGGCCTCTTCAACCCGCCCCACCGGAAGACGACCCGTCCCCCAGGCTGGGCCTGGGAGAGGGTCTTCCGGAAGGCTGCGAAACCATTTCACCTGGGCTGTTAATTCCTTCACGGAAAACCATGGAAAAGCCAAGGGCCTGGAATGGGACGGAACTCTCCCACCACCGCAAAAACCGCCCCTCAGACGGGCGCGGGGAGAGCAGCCCAGGCCAAGAGCAGGTGCCGTCGCGGGAGCCAGCACGTGTCCTTTTACCGCCAGCCGCCTAAGGAATCAGCGCGCAGGGGGCCTCACGGTGGTCTGGAACATTCCACATCCACCTGCCGCTTTCCTCCTGAAATGCACAACCGTTCTTCCCGGCCGGAACATAAGATGCTTTCAGCGGGTAAGCCTCCACGACGTGCTATCCGTGCTGGAGCCCACGCGTGTGGTGCTGCGGCCGGGCCCCTGCCGTCAGCGCCGAGAAGCGGGACACGCCAGCCGGTCCCTGACTAGGCCCCTTCCTCCCTCAGGTCCCTGGGTACCACTGAGATCCCTCGGCCCGTTCTGAGGAGATTCTCTTTTACCAGCTTTGTGGGACTCCTCTGAGGACGGCTGATTCCCGCCGAGCTGCCCGTGCTGCACCATGCAGCAGGCATCTCCTTGCAGGGGCACCTCCGGTGCCTCTGAGCCACACCTGGAGGCCTCTGTCAGGTCCTCTGCAGCCTCTCATTAAGTTGAGGTCCCTGCATGAATCACAGGCAGCGCCCAACTACAGAGGGACGCCCAGGGAAAGGCCACAGAGGGCTCACCACCTCCTGTCACCCTTGGCACGGGAGGGAGCTGAGAAGAGGGAACGCGGTGTGGGCAGAATCCTCCCACCTGAGTGCGTCGTCATGGCCACCCTCGGCGTGGGCATGTGATGGGGATGTCGAGACTAGGACTTCATGGACGGTAGAGTTTTAAGCCCTGTGAGATCCTGTTTTATAAATTTCAGTGGCTGAGGCCATACTTGAGCAGTGACAGTCATAGAGATTAACAGCAAGAGGAGAGAGTCCCGCTGGCTGCAGGACAATAAATGTTTCTGAACATCGCCACAAGCACCATCGGCGGACAACCAAGGCCTCGCCACTGCAGAGAGTGAGAAACCGTGGGCATCACAGGGGGCAGGTGAGGGGGCTGCTCGTCTGTGCGTGTCAGTTGGCAGAGCTGTTTCACGGCAAAGATGGGAGCCGCGCCTGCTGATGGGGCCGGCGGTGCCAGGACGCGAGGCCAACCTCAGGGCGGGAGGCAGGGAGGCCGGGAGGGAGGACCACGTCTCCGCGTGGGGCGTGAACAGCAGCGTGGCCTGGAACGGGGACGGGGATGGGCGACAGAGGGAGAATTTCTACACAGCACGGTGACGCCGCGCAGCAGGAGGGTGCAAAGAAGTTGGTCCCCAGAGTTCGCCCTCGAGGCCCTGAGTGGACACCACAGCGCACTCTGGATGGTCTCTCTATCCAGAGCAAAGTCAAACTGCCCCAAACTGAGTGGACCTGGGAGAAGACAGTGGCCTTCCAGAGGGAAGGTGTGACGTAAGCTTCGCTGGGAGACGTGAGTAACTACACCTAGAAACTTGATTCACCGCCACCCCGCGCTCAGCGTGGAAACGCGGCCCGTAGCGCACAGAGGAGGCGTACGCGAACGACGTAGCTGGGCCGCCGCCACTACGGCACAACTGGCGCAAAACGACATGCTGACCAGATCCACCGGCCTCCATCGTGGAGACCAGGGACACGGGAAGTGGGGGGCTGTGTCGTCGTATCACATATTGTTCCTGACGATCTGAGATATTCTAACATGGAAGAAAACTCTTCTCCGGATCAGATGTACATTAAAGCAGTGCCCCCACTACAGACCTACAGGAGCCGCTGCTTAAGAGTAACAGTGCCGTTTTGGGAGAAAGGCCAAGGAACTGCCATCTCCTCGAGACACCGGCTCTGCCCTCGGGCGGCCGCGAGCCGAGTGGCGAGAGCTGCCGGATGCGGCGTGCAGAACGCCAGCCTCTCCCCTGTGAGCAGGGCTGGAAGGAGCTCTGGAAACACAGCAGAGCCACAGCGAGTGTTTAAAAAGTGGGGTCTCTCTGACTTAGTAACTTCGCATCCCATGACGTGACGACTCTCTTTGCTTTTCCTGATAGGATGGCATTTCTTCTACCAGATTAGAGACGTTCCTACAGCTTTAGGGAGGAGCCATTCCCAATGTGCTAGCAGGCCCCGGCGGGCACTGGAGACTAATAAGATCGGGAATATTCCAGGGCCCCGTGCAACTGTGTGGGGTCTCCCAGAGGGCCGAGCTGTTGTGCGGACAGGGGTGCCCTTCCTGCCCACCTGCAGGCTCCACAGGCGTGTGTGGCCTTGGCCAGGCCCACGTCACGGCCTCTCCACAACCCATGCGGACTTCCTCCCTGAGACTGGACAGCGCCTGGCCCACGTGTGGCGTGACGGGGAGCAGAGGTGACCTCTGCACTCCTGGGAACGACAGGCCTGCGGCCACCCAACACTGAGGCCTGACCCTATCCCCTGGGGAGATGGCCTTGCGTGGTCCGTGAGTCCTGCTCTCAGCCCAGCCTGACTGCAGACTCACAGGGGGGACAAAGACGTGAAGGAGCTTGGGGACACGCCCGAAAGCGATGAGCCATCCCAGGTCCCAAGGGCCATGGCCTGGACCTCCTGACGGAGCAAAGCCCCCAGGCGACGGCGATGGGTTTGAAAACACCGCAGCGGCACGTGTATTTTTCTAGAACATAAGCTCTCGTGCGTGGGTCTGTTTTGTTTCCTGCTGTACTCCTGGCAACTGGAGGAGCGTCGGGCACACCCTGGGCACCCAGTGTGCCCAGCTGTCCAGTGAACGAATGGCCGCCTGCTGGCCGCTTCTCCAGGCTTCGCCGCCCCGGGCTCCCTGTGACGAGCAGCTCCCGTGGTTCTGACACGCATCATGGGGCGGGGAGGGTCTCGGTGGTGCGTGGGAAAGCTTCTTCACCACCTTCACCCCACCAGTGCCACCCATGCCTCTTCCAGAGGTCCCCACCACAAAGGCTTCCTGTCCTCCCCCCCCACTGCAGCCCGGGCTGCCCCTGAAACCCGCTTCAGTCAGAGGACACTGTGACCCCCTGAGCGCAGTGCCCAGGCCCCCCACTGACCACGGCCATGCTGACACCACGTGGATGCAAACTCACAGGATTGCTTCTCATCGCCTCTCCCACGGCCCGCGCTGCTTTGGGGTTGCCCGCCAGCGCCGCTAATTGCTGGTAAGAAACCGTTTCTCCGAATTTCGCAGCCTTCTGCAGCTTCCATAGCGCCTGTCTGGTGAACGAATCTGAAGCGAGAGAGCAGAGTGACACGATTTGGGCAAACGGCTCCGACAGCTCGGATACAAACAGCTGCCAGTCCTGAAAGACAGGGTGCATCAACGTAAACAGAGGTGCTATTCCCAACGAAAACAGCTCCGCACGGCCCTGTCACCGTGCCACCCGACACGGAGGAAGAGGCGTGTGACGCAGGGCACGGAGCGGGCCGGCCCCTCTGCAGGTGTCCCCAGCCGTGCCTCACAGATTTGCGACTCCCTCCCATCTTCCCCGAGTGCCAGGCAGGCCCGAGACACGCTCTCCCGGCACCCGGGCGTGTATAAATTAGCACGCAGTTCGCTTCGTGAGCACAGAAGGCCCTGCTTGCACACCAACTTCGAAACCTTTTGTTCCGCTGGTTAATTTCCAACTTCAGCTGGGACACAGAAGGAAAAGGAAGCCACGGGCTGGGCTCTGATATTATACTAGCTGTCCACATCCGACGACGAGCAGGCTTAGAATGCCAAACACCACGGTACACAGGGGCTGGTGGTGACCTTGGCTACAGGCATCTGTAACGAGCAGGGCTGCAAAGATAAAACAACTTCACTCCCATCTGAACTGACTATACTCTTCATCCTGCTGCAGGAATGAAAAGGAAACCGCACGACAACATTCCCTCCCTCTGCTCCAGGTTTAGAGCTGTTTCGCGGGTGTGGAGTGCGCTGGGGAGAAGCCTGGCGTGTGAAGGAGGCGGGTCTGAACCGACACCTATTGTCTTTCCGAAGGGGACGCACGGCGCGGGAGAACTGGACACGGAGCTGTGGCCCCCAGAGGTGGGGCGGGAGCACCCGACGGCAACAAAGGGAAGGATTCCACGGGCGGGGGCGCAGTCCCTGAGTGTGTCCCTAATAGCACTAATTACACTTGGTGCCAAGCTGGCCAAGTGCGATTTGGTTCTTAAAGGAAACACACCCTTGCATGCGTGTTAAATAATAAAAATCACTTCTTCACTGAAGGGAATGATAATCACTTCACTGGGAAAAAAAATCTGTTTAGACTTTATTATAACATTAAGCAAATTAAACATCAGCATAATCCAGGTGATACTAGAAAAGGGTCAGCAAAGAAATTGACTTTGTTGTTCATTAATTTACATGGATTAGCAGAGGGCAGAAAGATAGCAAATGTGCTCTAGTTTTTTATGATATAATTTCAAACTCTACACCGTTTGTGGCAGGAGGGTGACTTTGGGGTTAATCAGACTGATTTGTCCTTTTAATTGCTTTCTATTCAAAGAAAATTCATTAGATAATGTTCTCTTCAAAATTCATGAATCAATTTAACTGAAGAAACCACATTAACAGCTTTGGGTTCATTAGCACATGCCGGTTGTGTGACTAGCTGATTGCTGAGAGGGTTTCCTTAGGCAAACAGACTCTGTTTACTGTGATTTCTTTAGAAAGGGTTTTGAAATCAAACTGTTAATCATTATCATTGTCGCCCGTTGTTGTGCCTAACTTAAAAAAAGAAAAAGGAAGAAAAAAGAAAAGCAAGGCAGCCTGGTGATAACTTGGAGAAAAAGAGGTTTCAGGGATAGCTGTCTTGGAAAAGAAACGATAGAAGCAGCACAAGCCGATACAGCAAGAAGCAGAGGCCAGTCTCCTGCCTTCTTCCCACAGCCCAGCGTTGTTGGTTTTTGTTTTCCGTGTTTTGGCCCAGGGAGAGGATGCTGCCTAGGTCTTCCAGGAGGACAGTCTGGAACTTACTAGACCTGCAGGAATACAGTGAGAGGTGTGTGCAGACAGAAGCTGGAGAGACAGCCCAGTTCCGAGAAGCCGCGGCACAGCTCCCCGGCCGCCACCTGAGCGCCAGGCGCTGACAGACTCCTGCCGAGTCACAGAGCACCCCTCCTTCCAAGGGGAAGAACACTGTAAAATAAAACAACTGGACGCCCGTACATGAGCGCAGAGTTTATCAAACATTTTCAGCTTCACTGTCAAGTTTTCCACGGGAAACCGTTTCTCACCTTGTATGTACCAGGCAATGGTATCAGGACAAACAGCTCAAGAAATGCAGTATTTGTCAATCAAGCACATCATTTTATAAATGTACCTGGAAACTCAATTCCACCTTGTAGGGAGCAAATGCATTTATTAGTCTAAGCAGTGCTCAGAGCCAGCGCCTTCGCCCTGGACCTGTGCAAAATCAGACCTGAGGCCCACCCCTCCGAACGGGGGGCAACACTCTCGGTTGTTGGGTATCGTTCTAAAATGTAGCAAAACCTGCTCATAAGGATTACCATGATCGATGTGTAAAATACATTCTCTTGAGGTGGCCGTTTAGTGGCCGTTTAGTGGTCCGTTTAGTGGCCGTTTAGTGGTCCGGCCGGCCATTTAGTGGCCGGACCATCATTTCAGGTGGCCTAAGGGGCAACCACTGAAACACCATCCTTTTCTCTCCCGTAAGGTCCCCTGTGGAGAGCAGCTGCAGCCTCCGGAGGCCACATTCTGGGTGTTCCTCTCCTTCCTCATCTCCTGCCTGTTCTGGGGTCCGGGTGAGGTCAAGGTAGGCTCTGCTGGAAGACTGCTCCTTAGATCCCCCTTACCTTAAGGACACGGCCATCTCCATTTGAGCTTGGGTGGCTACTCAGACACACCCACCGCAACCACCTAAACCTGGCAAAAACTGTTTTCTAAGCTCTCTTCCTGGATTGCACATCACGAGCCAGGGCGCTGATGATACCGCGCACCTGTAGGATGCCCTGCCATGGCGTCAAACCCGGTGTCCACGCATGGGTCACGGCCGTTTGACAGGTTTCCAACTTTCCAAGGGTTCTCCCTCCCAGGACTTGCCTTCTCTGGCCTCCGGCACAGAGGGGGCACCCAGGCTGGCACACCGGAGCTCAAGATAATCTGGGAGGGAGCCAGGTTTCTGATCAGGTGAATCCAGAGGCGAGTCCTGACACTACGTGCTCTTCAAGTGTAACGAGCTAAACTGACCTGATGCTGCCTCAGCAGCAAAGCGGCCGGACGACCTTTCCAGGAATGAACCTGGGGGGGAGAACATGAAAGTGAAAGGAAACAGGGGTTCTGGTCCAGGGGGAACAGAGTCAGCGTCTTCTCCCTGCCTGTCGCTGCTGAATGCCTTTATAAAGCCTGGGCACAAGGCACAGAGCAGCTATTTGAGGGCCGTGGAAAGTAAAGGTTCAGGAAGAGGAATTTGAAGAAACACTGCAACGATGCGCCAGTTTTTAACCACTTTTCCCCTCAATAACCCCCAGCCAGGACTGACTGCAGCCTCGACCCCAGCGGTGCTGCTGCTGCAGACAGAGCCCAGGGCTCTCATCACCTTGAGGAGGGGGAAGGACCCCTGATGCTCAGAGCATGGAGGAGCCCCCCCTGTGCTATTACGTCTGAACTCCTGTACCGCTGCCCCCAAGCAATCCTGCAGTGGGGGATGGCAATGGTGGGGGGCCCGCAGGTGCTGAAGGCTCTGAGGAGAAACATCCTTTCTGATGGGAAGAGCTATGGTCCCCAAAGGTGGGTGGACCCACTGCTTTCCCCTTCTTTGTATTCTCACTGCTCGGCCCTAGATGGAAGCGCAGTTGCAGGAGTGGGTGGTAGCGCAGAGGACCCCCAAGAACTGGGAAGGACCAGGGAGATTGCAGAGAAAGAGGCCTTTGGGAAAGCACACCAGCAAGTTGTTTACAGATTCCTGGATTCGCCCCTGAGCTGTGCATGTGTGGATCTGCCACTAAACCCAAGACTCCGAAAACTGAGGTAAGGGTTAGACCACTGCTGGGGTCCTGGAGGGCAGACCTGAACAGGACTGCGGAGGCTACAAAGGAACGAATACTGAAACCACAACCTGCAGAAGCCTGGTCAGGACTCATGGGCTGTATCCAACCGGGTCGAGTGTCTCATAAACAAAAATATCAACATTACTGTAAGATTTACATGAGACCCAGAGTCTCAGAATATCATATTCAAAATGACCGGGTTATAACCCCAGACTACTTAGCATATGAAGAATCAGGAAAACCTCAACTTGCCTGGGAAAAGACAGTCAACAAATGTAAAGGCCAAAGCTGAGACAGGAGTTAGAATCACCTGACAACCGCCCCTCTCGCTCAAGCTTTCTGAGGTATGATTAACAAATAAAACTGTAAGATACTGAAGGTGTGCAATGTGATGACTTGATAAACATCACCTGACACAACCACTTCAGAGGATCTGTAATAAAAATGCTGTGAGAAGGGAAAATACCCACGAAACAAATGAAAATACGGGAGTTTGTTTTTAAAAAAATAGAAGTTATGGGCTTCCCTGGTGGCACAGTGGTTGGGAGTCCGCCTGCCGACGCAGGGGACGCGGGTTCGTGCCCCGGTCCGGGAGGATCCCACGTGCCGCGGAGCGGCTGGGCCCGTGAGCCATGGCCGCTGGGCCTGCGCGTCCGGAGCCTGTTGCTCCGCAACGGGAGAGGCCACAGCGGTGAGAGGCCCGCGTACCGCAAAAAAAAAAAAAAAAAAAAAAAAAAAAACATAAAAAAATAGAAGTTACAAAGAAGAATCAAACGGAGAATTTAGTACTGAAAAATTCAACATACAAAATGAAAAAACTGCACTGCATGGGGCTTCTTAGCAGAATGGGGATGCCAGAGGAAGAGCCAGTGAGACTGAGGATAAGTCAGCAGAAATTATCAACCAGAGAAACAGGAAAAAATGTCAGGGCTTCCCTGGTGGCGCAGTGGTTGAGAGTCCGCCTGCTGATGCAGGGGACACGGGTTCGTGCCCCGGTCCGGGAGGATCCCACGTGCCGCGGAGCAGCTGGGCCCGTGAGCCATGGCCACTGAGCCTGCGCGTCCAGAGCCTGTGCCCCGCAACGGGAGAGGCCACAACAGTGAGAGGCCCGCGTACCGCAGGGGGGAAAAAAAATGTCAAAAGCAAACAACAAAAACCAAAAACAGCCTCGGGGACATGTTGGAAAAGCCAAAAGGTCTAACATGCGTGTTACTGGGGTTCTGGAAGGGT